GAGCCTTGGGCCCTCTCTCTCTCTCTCTCTCTCTCTCTCTCTCTCTTGGCGCACACACACATCTGCGACTGTGTGCGCAAGCCTTGGGCCCGGACGTTCACAAATTACAGTCCACTCTCACTAGGAATTAATGTAGGGCTGACTCCTCCAGAGCATGTGCGTGTCCTGGGCTATGTGGAAGGTTGCTAGTGAATGTTGCATAACAAAGTCCTTGCCTGCAAACTGCTACATTCTAACGCTCCCACCTGCAATGTATGCAATGAGAGTGGCCTCCCCTATTGTCTTGCCAATCTTGTCATTGCATTAGTTTGAAGACTATCTCCAACTCTCCCCAAGCGTTCACCAAAGCTTGGAGTACGAGACATGGATACTGTAGGAGGAGCTTGGCTTTCAGAATCAGCCCAACTGAGCTTCTTGTAGCTATCAGGAGTTGACGGTGAGCGTGGCCGACTTCTTCTGCTAAATATCACACAGATCCCAGCAAGTCGCCATCGCCGTCTTGCCTTCTTTGCTGCAGTCAAGAAATTCAGACCCCCTTCCGACTTTGAGTGCACTTCACTGCTGCTGCTCGCACTGTGGGCATTTCCAGAGCCACCCTGTTGAATGAAGATACCATCATCAAAAAGCAACACAAGCTGAATGTCAGTATGGTTGCCAATTGCAAAACGGGAATGATGTCTGGGATGCACACTTGGTCAGCAATACTGTTAGTAGGATCAAGACAAGAAGAATCAAGACAAGGCGAAAAGAGTGGTCTCTCACATGACACTGTCCCGCCAGGCCTGGAAAAGCGCTTGCATCATCTACGGCTGCTCTGTTTTCCTTTCTTTCTTAGGTCATTACGGGTAAGGGTGACATTGTTTACTTTTTCCTATGTGGTCGTTTTGGGCTTTAGCGTAGTTTTGCACCCGAAGGGGTGCAAATACTTAACCGACCTGTATTTTTGCCTCTCGGGGTGCAAAATTACAAACCCTGAAAGCCCAAAACAACCCAAGGGTTTGTATTTTTGCAACCCGAGGTCGTTTTGGGCTTTAGGGTTTGTATTTTTGCACCCCGAGGTCGTTTTGGGCTTTAGGGTTTGTAGTTTTGCACCCCGTTTTGGGCTTTAGGATTTGTAGTTTTGCACCCCGTTTTGGGCTTTCGGTTTTGTAGTTTTGCACCCCTGCTTTGGGCTTTAGGGTTTGTAGTTTTGCACCCCGAGCGGCCCGAGCTGTATTTTTTCGAATTTTCGATCGACAGACCACCAGAGCTGCGCAATACACATACACTCAGCTGATGTGGCTGAAGGGTCCACCTACTACACCCATTAGCAACTGAAAAGCAACCTGAGTTCAAATCCTGGACTAAACAGTTAAGTAAACTACGTGGAGCCGGATAGGTTTCTTCTTGTCTTTTTTCTTTTGTTTTGGCAACTACGTATTCCACCTCACCAGGGCCCCAGCCGCCCCCTTTCATCAGTTCTCCCTGGCACATCCCCTCCTCCCTTACTCTTATCTCAGTGTAACCTAACCAGACAGCTGTCGCAGGCACGAGCGCTAAGCAGGATGCCCCACTCAGCCATGATTGAAGCATTGTCGAACAAGCCTTGCTGAACAGACGTTAGGCATGGATGTTTTTCTCCATCGGGCCCGTGAGTAGACCCTGAATGCCCCCCGAGATTGGGGCCGGTCTGTTCTACGGTGACATCTGAAGGCCATTGCTCATTCCTTGAAAATCAAAAGGAACAGGTAAAGAGGCAATAGAGGTCCACATGTGCCAGTACAAACATAACATAACTTCTAGTAAACAGGTCGTGAGCTTGGTTTGTGATAAATCAGATGAATACCATTGTGTAAAGTGCTGCCCACATTTCTCATTAAAATTTTAAAATTGAAATTTGAAACAAAAGAATAAAAAGAAAAAAAAAGGTGCATCCCAGTACACACTTAACTGTTGCTAAAGAGGTTGTAAGGCGACATGAGCTCGAATTGTGATGAATCAGATGAATTCCATAGTGTGAAGGGCGACCCCCGTTTCTCATTAAAACAGGCGGGGGAGGGGGGGGGGGAATACAAAGTGAAAATGGCTTCCAAGTTCCAGAACACCTCAAGTACATTGCGGAACTGTTCTCCATTTAGGAGGCAAGTTCTCATTGACTCTCCTTCTTGGGGGTTCCCACAGCCGTGCCCACATAACATAACCCACATACCCCACACTGCGCTACCCGACCCATGTAGCATCACCACTCCTTACCCCCATAGGGGATATACAGTATTGTAGACACTACAAGTTCTATATAACCTATAGGTATTCTTTCGGTCTGCTTGCATTGCATACACCTTTATAGTACCTTATAGATTGAAGCAGGCTATACGGTACTGTAAACACAAACCTCTATGCATCTTTGGCCTGGTTGCATTACATGCCTTTCCAGTACCATAAAGATAGAAAATGGGGTATATGGTACTGTAAACACTGAAACCTGTAGGGATTGCATTGTGTGCCTACAGGTTTTGGTGTTTAGGGTACCGTTTCCCACTGGAGTTCCTCCGATAGTCCCGGTACCAGCAAGGCATACAACCAGCCCCGGAGATGCCTACAGGTTTCAGTTTTCAGTACAGTACCCCACTTCATTTAGTGCTGTGTGCCAAGTTCAAAATGAACCGGTATGGCACTCATTTTTAATTTTTATTTTAAGCTGGCACCACAAGCCAAAGAGGTCCGCGAGGTTGAGCCCCCAAGGATGCGGAGGTAGACATCTTCGTCCCACAAAGTTCACCTGTGCTGTGAAGGTACTGGTGGTTCAAGAAGCCAAAGCCTACAGTCCGCGCACTATGCTTGTCTGTATAACTATGTTCTTAACGATCTCTCATCCGCCCACATGCTCAGGCGCATTCTGACCAAACTAGTTTCAGAAGTTCGGAGCCCAAGAAGGCTTGTTTTTTTGTGGCAACTTGTCCAAGATTGATCGGGTCCTACGCTCGTTCGTACCAACACCGACATGCTTGGTAGGCACAGTTGCAAAACAGACAGATAGAGGTCTAACTTAATGGACATGCTTAGTAGCTTACCAACCTTGTTATCTAGGGAGTGATTGCCGCCCTGAAGCATTAACTCCAACCTCCCGCTGAGAGATCGTCTGTACAAGCCCAATTTCCGTTTGAGCGGATGTGATGCACTGCATGCTTCAGATTTATCCCCTTTCTCTTTCTTCTCATCCCTCTCGCACTTTTCCGGTGGCTCGTGCCCATTTACCTGCAAGCTGGTCTTCTGTTTACTCATGGCTGCAGCCCAAACCGAGGGGCTTTCATCGCTTCCACTTCCACAGTGTCCCTCATGCTCCGAGCAGCAGGAACTATGAGGAGTTTTGCTATCGTCTTTTTCTGTTGTTGTCATCGGGTCTGCAGAAGACTCTGACGAGGATATGGACGAAGAACTGGAACAACTCGTAAGCGATGACAGTGATGATACAGCGATGATGACGCTTTCCCGACCTGCCGGCGAGGGGACAACAGCATGCGGCCTCTCTTCAACATTTACATTATTACTATTACCATGCTCTTTGACGAAATCAATCTGCCGATTGCCTCCAGCTGGTGGGCCTTCTTCACTACTCTCTGCCGATGAAATTTGCGCGCCTCCTTCGCACGCAGGAGTGCTGTTGCAACAATCCGGCTGCGAGTCTAATCCTCTTTGTTGCCGGATAGCAGATGAGAAGACGAGCTGCTTGACAACTTGCCACTTGCTTCGAGTGGGCATTTTGTCGCAAGACACAATGCAGCCTTCAGGCGACCTTAAACCAGCAGCAGCTTGTTGGATATCACCTCCCTTTCTCAAGGGCGGATCCCTTACCTCGTCTCCCTTCTTCGGAGCTCCAATCCCATTAGTTCCCTGAGTAAGCAGGTCAAATGGACAGACCGCATGTGAGATCCTTACAACAAACAAGAACTAAATAAAAAAGGTTGAAAAAGGAAAAGGAAAGAAGATCACAAAAAAGCAACCAAAGACTGCAAACGTGTTATCAGCCCTGGCGGCTCTATCTGGAAGGAGGCAAAGCTCCGTGATATCAAGCATCAACACCAGAAAGCGCAAAGGGTGGGTCGGAGAGCTGACCTGTGGACAGCAGGACGTATGGACAAGCAAGAGCAGTGCAGGTGAGAAAAAACGGGGGGGGAGAAAAGAAGTACAGGTAGGAACATATAGGTAAAACGTGCAGGGGGCCGAAGGAATAGTGTGCCGTATGAGCTGGAAAACAAAAAAAGAAAAAAGAAAAAAGCAAAAAAGAAGGTGAACATGCAGGGCCAATGGGGATGTTCGAGCAAGCATTTGGGTCCTGAAGTCAGGACTAGATGTAACGATGCCACCAGACTGAATCTGGGGGGATTTTGGGTAGTTACGTCCACTGCCCAAGGTAGATTGCAGTTTGTGGGCGCAAATGGGCACCAGTCTCGGGGGAGCATGTGGTAAGGAAGTGGAGCGGACAGTTCAAGCAGGCTGGAGGTTGGTGATGGCTACCAGGTGAGAGACCCCTCATCATTCAGGAAAATTTAGGTGAGAGACCCCTCGTCATTCGGCCTCTTGGCTCATTCGTTAATGCACTCTTAATGCTGCCCACCTGACAGTGAGTAGAGGGAAGCCAGGGAGGGGGAGGGCCCTGGTGGAGGAGGAGGAGACTCACATGGTTATGGAGGTGAAGAGGGCGAGCTAACCTCTTCACCTCCATAACCATGCGAGTCTCCTCCTCCTCCACCAGGGCCCTCCCCCTCCCTGGCTTCCCTCTACTCACTGTCAAGGTGGGCAGCATTAAGAGTGCATTAACGAATGAGCTAAGAGGCCGAATGATGAGGGGTCTCTCACCTAAATTTCCTGGACTGGTAGACGTCACCCACCTCCAGCCTACTTGAGCTGTCCGCTCCACTTCTTTACCACATGCTCCCCCGAGGGAGACTATGTACGAGTACAAGAAGCCGTTGAGTTTTAAGTTCATAGAATGCATCGTATAGTGACAAAAATTTAGAAATCTGACAGGCACGTTGAATCCTTCTCTTCTTTATCTCCTTGTACTTCTTTTTGTATTGTGATTCATGTTCTTAGTCTCAAATCTGAGTTTTGCAACATGATACTAAAACTTCACACATAGCACATTTCAACCTCTTAATTGTTACGGTTGTTATATACCTTCACACCTTCACACCTACGCACCTACACACACACACACACACACACACACACACACACATCCTTTCCCATTGCTTCCAACCCCAAACCTGGCCTTATAGACTCGCCGCCCCCCACAAGTCGGTCAACCACTGTACACCTTCACACCTTCATACCTACACACACACACACCCTTTCCCATTGCTTCCAACCCAAAATCGGGCCTCACAGACTTGCTGGCCCCCACAGCACCCCCCTCCCCCCCCCCCCCCCCCAACAAGTTTACAAAGAAGTTTATTCGGACTTAGCATACCTCAAGACTCATTCCCACTATTCCACTATTCCCTGAGGCAGCGGCATTCGAAAGAGGGCCACCATTCGCAGAAGAATGAGAACCGTCTTGCATCTCTGGACCTGCTTCCTCAACAAATTTGATGGTATTAGCAAGATCTCTTATGCAATGAGCCCTTGGCGTCCCTCCAATTAATCCCCTCCCTCCCAGGACAGTGGCTGTCGTAGGGAGAGTATTTGACGTTGACGCCGGGGCAGGAAGCAGTAAAAGGGGTCGGTGTGCACTTGAGGATGGAGCATGGCAACTGGTTCGGGTTCTTCCTGTGGGAATAGACGAGTCATTCAAACTGGATGTTTGCTGACCAACTTTCCCGGGAGCCCCGTTTGCTTCAACAAACCTCAAAGGTTTGTGATCTTTAGCAGGCTCATTCATGCATTCCCTGGATGATTCAGTGCATTTGGCCTGATTTCCAGTTCCCTTCCACCAATCAGACAGTGTGCCATTGCCTCTGACGGAGGCTGACAGCTCGCGGCTTCTGCTTCTCCCAGCACCAGACTGTTCATCCGTTGCTCGCAGAGGGAGCTGATCGCCCTGCTCGATATCTGCAAGCCCATCAACCACTTGCTGACAAGGCACTCCCACAGGTGAGGAGGGAGGCGCCCGAACTACTGTGAACTGCATCGCACTGGATGAACGACGCAGGACGGACTTCACACTGTAATTTCCCGATGAAACAGCCATATTCCCCATTCTCGACACATTCTCTTGCTCGTCACTGTAGTATCCAGCACTGCCAGTGGAATTGACACGCTTAAGACTCATATGGTTGCTAAGGCTGCATGGTGTCAGGGGATCCCGACCTGAAATCTTCCTACCCGGAACATCGGGTCGCTCCTTCCTGTTCTTCCTGGAGGCAGTGGAGGGCGAACGCACCTCCCCTTTCAAGAGCTTGTTCTCACTCGCTAATCGGGCTCGTACCTGCACAGTGCATACCAAGTATTCCCAAAACACCAAACGGACAAGGATCGAAAGCAACAACGGTTCTTCTTATTGACTCTGCAATGCGCTTACTTTATCTCGAGAGGGCCGGGCAACTTTCAAGTCTCTCAGGTTACGGAAGCCAGAACTCATCAAATCAGCTGGATTCGCGTAGCAAACAGGTCTCAAATTCTCTCAATCAATCATCTCACACTGAGATTTTCCCCTTGGGCACAAGATCACCCCATGCTCCCCTTCCGCCCTTCCGCCCGGGAGCGAGAGCTCGTGCACTGTCACCAAAGGAAAAATTCAGGATGTCCATATGATGGACTCCCATCTGGAAACATGCGGGTCACCGGTGTCATAGACGACGACGACCTGCCGCTGCACCGTTCCACATAGAGGGGGGACGATCTCCTCCTCCCATCCTGCTCGCCCTCCATTTACTCCTTTACCCCTCCTCTGCCCAAGAGTGTCTTCTCCTCCAAGCCCGTACCCTCCTCCTCCACCTCCCCACATTCTCCTTCCCAATCTCTTTCACCCTCCTCCTCTCTACCTCTGCTCTTCTTCATCATTGACTGCCGCTTTCTCTTGCTGGCTGCGCCACTCACATCACATCAACCACCTGCGTTTCCAATTGCTCGTGTTAACCCTCCTCCTCCAGCCTCCTCGACATCACCATCAAATCCCATCCCCAGCCTCCAGCTCAACTTCCTCCACATTACTGTCCGCCACATGTAATTCTCCCTGATCCTCCCTCCGCCCACCTTGGCGCCCCAATCCTCTCACTTGCTCACCCCCCCCTCCTCCTCCTCCCCTGCACCTTCCGAGCCTAAAACTTCTCCAGCATTAGAGCTCAAGATTCATTTTGTCTGCCACCCTTCTCGGCCTCTTCAACATCCCCATCCATCCCATTCCCAGCTTCCAGCTCAGCTTCCTTCACATTACTGTCCACCACATGTGATTCTCCCCGATCCTCCCTCCTCCCACCTGGCGCCCATATCCTCGCACTCACCTCTTCCTCCTCCTCCTCCCCTGTGTCTCAACCTTCTCCACCATTAGAGCTCAAGCCAGCCTCAAGGTTCATTTTGCCTTACACCTTTTCCCCTTGAGTTCTCCGATAACATTTTCCTTTCTTTAACCACCCCTTTCCTGCATTACTCTCCAACTACCCCTCCTTGCTTGATATCTCCTCCAATCACCCCCTTTCATTCCCCTTTGATGCCATCATCCTACTGCTGCTCTCACCCTCCTCATACCTCTGCTACAAGTGCCCCTTTTCTACCCTGCGTTCACTGCAGCCTTCTTCCTACCATTAAACCATGGCTACGCCGGACCCGGATCCAGACAGCTCATGTACGGGGACCGGACACATGTCTGGTCGGGTCTGGACGTCCGGACTTCCCCGACACATCCACACCCTCCAGACATGCATGGTTCCGGACGGTCCGGACTGGTAAGCACGTCCAGAAATGTCAGGACCAATGGACCATTAAAAAAAAAAAATTCTGAAAAAAAAGTATGTTATGCAGAATAATAATGCAAAGTTATATTAAAAAAAAAAAAAAAAAAAAAAAATGATACCTTATCAAACCCTGCCCATGCTGTTGGCTTCAATGGTACACGCATCAAATTGTCGATTACAAGATCAAGAGTCGTCTCTCGACAAACAGAAGAGAAAAAGGCAAGAAGAAGATTACCAACTGACTGGAAGCCAACCAAGTGCTGACAACCAGGCGCCGACCTGCATTACAGGTAACCTTAAAGACTGACTGGATCGAGAGTCGTCTCTTTGGCTGCATACCAGGTACCCTTACAGACTGACCGGATCAAGAGTCGTCTCTTTGACTGCATACCAGGTACCCTTACAGACTGACCGGATCAAGAGTCG